CACCTTAAAGCTAATTTGGAGGGTTTATTTGGCAAATAGTTAGGAATAACTCTACCTTTGAGAAAATTATACATTGTCCATGTGCCATATATGACCTGCAAAAGAGGAGGATGTGATTATTCCAAAAAATATTTATTCTTTCTCTGTTTGATTAGAACAAGTAATCATGGATGTAAACAGTCACTTCAGATAACAGGGGAAAAGATTGTCCTGAAAGACAGCCTGGATTAATGTTTTGAGCCTCAAAGAAATTATGCTGGAAAGAGCAAAACCTCTTCTATGCAATCTCGAGGCTTTCCCATCTAGTTAGACACTTCAGCTTTGCTGTATGTGGCTGTAGCTCCCCGGGAGGCTTTTGGTCTCTTGGCTGGCAAAGCAGCTTGTGCTGATGATTCAGAGCAGCATCTCCTGGAGTGGGCCAAGAATATGCAGCTTTGGAAAGGCAGAGATCGGTGCTGAGCCTCTCAGATGGGATCTGTGGCAAGGATTGACCATCCAGGACAGCCAGGAACAGTCCAATTGGAGCTTCCAACTCCTCCCCTTCCCCTTATAATATCCAGAGCAGCCAAAAAGTTATTAAACTACTCCAAGAACCAGACGGTTTCCAGAATCGCAATTGCTTCCACATTCATGCACTTGGATAAAATTTGACACACTCCAGTGTGTCCAAATTTTTATCATCTTTCTCACGTGCGATCCTGGAACTTTTTGTAGGCCTTTCCATTTTGTAAAACTCAAAGTCTGAATTCTTTCAGTAATGGGAAAACAGTCTCCCTAATGGTGAGTGATTTGAATTTCCTGGAGCAATTTGATTTTTATTCTTTCTTTTCATTTTTGTAAGAACTCTGTTCTGGAAGCTACTCAAGTAGTACATGAACAAAGGAATCCAGGACATATTGAAATCATTTAGAGGCCTGTGTTCTGTAAGTGTAGGGTTTAAAAGAATGTTTAAAATGGGAGAGGTTGTGAGAAATGCCTTAAGCAGGGGAAAGCATCATGACTTGGTGGAGAGAAAAAAAAACTCCATTAGGAAACATTGCAAAGCAATAGGATAATCCTACCAAAAAGACACTCTGCTTGTTCAATAACTTTAAAAGCTCTCAGTAGTCCTTTGCAAACATTAAATAAGTAAACCTCACAAAATAAGTAATCCCCTGATGAGGGTTATTGGATGCAGTAGGAGGATAGCTGGAGCAGGGGCAGTTGAGGAAGGGGCAAATCTGAGGATTTGGCCCTGGGCATGCTGCCTGCCCCGCGTGCTGGATGCCGGGACCTGGCAGTGCTGGGGCCGGCCCTGCAGAGCATCCCTGCCCGTCCCCGCTGCCGCGTGGAGGCTCCACAAGCTGCGGAGCAGGCGGCTTCCTCCCGGGACTGCTTTGCTCGGGGGGCAGCGCCTGTGTCCCCAGCACCCTGGCAGCTCCCGGCCCTTCTCGGGCTGCCTGGGACCGTTGTCTGACATCCTCCTCCTCGGGAAATGGCTGTGAGGCTGGACAGACGCAGGTGAGAGCAGGGATAGGGGCTGCAGAGAGGTGTCTGCTGCCATGGGAGTTGATTTGTCCCCCGTCAAAGGTGTGGATATCCCATGCACAGGTGGGAAGGAATATACTACCCCACCACAGTGTGGTAGCTGAGCTACATGCACCTCAATTAGGCTTTGCTTGCCTCTACTAAGTGACAGCATCATTGCATTAGGGAAATAGATTTGTTCTTTGCTCAGTGACTCATTATTTATGCCATTTAGTAATAGATGTGTACAGCCTTTTTAAAAGCTTTCCGCAGTGTCAACATACCTTCTGCGGTATGAATTAATAAACTAATTTATGTGGCCTTAAAATGACAAGAGGCTGTTTAAGCAGCTACGTTCATTTGAAAATGACTACAATAAAAAAGAAGCGTGGGTTTATTTGTACAAATTGCTGTGTGTTACATCTGTGTGTTTGTTAGGCAAAGGTTTCCTGGGCACAGTGGATCCTCGTGACTGGCTGGGACAGCGGCTGTTTCACCCTGGTACCAGTAGCCCTTCCAGTACCCAGGTACCTCAGGCAGGTCCATGAATGCTGCCTTCACGCAGCTAAACAGCTCTGTCTGACTCGGGAGCTGCTGTTTGTCCCCTGTGTTTATTGCACTGTGTAGAGCCCTGTATTTCAGCTCCAGAAATATTGTCAATGCTCTAGTCCTAATGATAACTGGGCAAATACTTCTGGTTTGTAACAAACGTTTGTCCAGTCATCATCCCAGCCTTAGGAGGTTTTGCAAAAAAGAAAATCAAACCAAACAACTGTTGTCATCAGCAGTTTTGCTTCCCAAGCAGACGATAAGTCAGATAAAACACTTTCCCTTCTCCCCATACACACAAATACCAACCTGTGATATCAACCTTTTAAATGTCTGGGAAGAGAAAGTGGGAAAGAGCAAAAGGCAGTAGGATATTTCAACTAAATGCCTCAGGTGGGCTCTGACTGTCCCAGGCTGAGGAAGGCGGGCACAAGGCAGCGCGGATGCAGACGGGGTCTGTTAGACCACAGCTGCCGTGGAATCCACGTGGGGTTTGGGCCAGAGCTCCTGCCGGATTTAGTTGTTCTGTGGCTCTCGATGTTGGAATTCGTCAGAATCAGTAAGGGATGTTGGGTTGGCAGTTGGAGAAAACAAGTGTTTCTTGCCAAACTGCTGGCCTCAATATTGAAATATCCTTTTCCATGGCTTTTTTTTTTTTGTGGGTTGCAGAAGTGGCAGGTCTGTGGGGGGGATGAGGACAGGCATTGCTGTGTTCGCTGGACAGGAAGAGGACACAAGCGTGAGGCCACGTGTGACCAGGGGATTCTTCATGTTCCACGTTGTCCTGTGCTTCTCGACCACGTTCGATGGCCCTCCACGTTTTGTGACAGGAGGGACCGGGATAATGTAACACTCTCCTCTGGCTCCTCTCTGACTGGAGTCCTGAAGCCAATTTTAACTATGATATAGCTGTTGCCAGGAATAGAAACCTCTCCTAGGAAATGAATGTCACTGCTCGTCAGAGTCTGTCTGGAAAACCTACAGTGAGTGTTTGTATCACGGTAGTAACGGGAATAGCCACAACTTACACTCGTGCATTTAGAGGCTGCTTGCCCAGGTCGTGTAAAACCAGGGCAAGGGGTAGGGAGCTGGGGAAGTGGGCTGATCATCTGGCTGCTGAGCTGGGAGCTCTCTGAGGAGAGTCAGATGTCATAGCTCAGAAACATCAGCTGTAGACCAGTCCTTTTTGGGGGAAAGGCACAGCTACCTAGCAAGCTGCTGAAAACAACACTACTCAATTAGCCCTCTTCATCCTTACGCTCCTGATACGTAAGTCAATGATTTTAGCTTTAATTATGTATCCTATCATACTTCTATATCTGGCAGAGGGAGTAGCTGCCCCGTTCTGCACCACCCTCACCAAATCCAGTGCATCCTGTTCTGCGCTTTAATCGCTTCGAGGTGAGGTCAGGTTTTCATAACTGCCCTCTAGCTCCGGGAGCTACAGCTGTGGGTTTTGCCTGTTCTGATGTCTCCTAATTACAGAATAATTCCCTCTTCCAAGTAAATGCAGCTTTGCTTTTCTTTGCATTGAGGCTTAACCTATTCTGTTTCTCCTAGCAGTCCCTGCAAGTAGGGCAGTGGATGCTCTGCAGATGCAGTTTGCTCACCCTGTACAGGGACCTGTTGAGCATAAACCCTCCCGAAGGCTGGAAACAGCAGCTGAGACCATCTCTGCTGCTACACGTCCATGTTGTGAATACAAATGTCTTAAAACCTCCACCATGGGGAGAGGACTGTCAGCGGGACCATCATTCTGGCAGGGTGTCTGCTGTCCTCTCCTGGTGACAGCCTGGCCGCCTAGAAGTTCAGCTGGTTACCAAACACCATGGGGCCAGCCTCACCCGAGGCCTCTCGCACCAAGCAGTTCCTGCTGCCTGAAGTGTCCCAGGGAAAGTGAAGGGCTGTTACAGGACTGGATTTCAGTGCAGTAATTAACTCTAAAACTTTGTGTTGAATGATGAATAACAAAGAGGAATAATAATTTACAAGAAACACCAGTTGCTTGGCTGGCAGTAGCTGTAGGATCTGGTCCAAAACCATTTATGTCAGTGGCTGTCTTTCTGTTCACTCCAGTGGAGCTGACCTACTTTATTATGATTTATCCTTATTAATCAAGTTAAGTATGGCAGTGCCCAAGGCCTGTCATAGGGTGGCACAGAGACAGGACATAGGAACCATCAGGTCTGCCCTTGCAGTGGGGCAGGGGCAATGAGAGGAAAGGGAAGGGAGGAGAAAAAACGAACTTCCTTGCATTGGAGAAGAGCATGATATGGAAAAAAAGTGTTGGCAAAAGAAGGAATTTGTAAGTGTTGGCAGATCCTTCCACGTGACGGCTGTGAGTGGTTCCTCCTGCAGCTGCTGGCCCGTTGCCGTGTGCCTGTGCCGCAGACTCCCCGCACACACGCCAGGAAACTCTGCACAGCCTCAGCACAACAAGCTCACGGAAGACCTGTGCTTCTCATCCCCCTGCAACAGCTTTAGGGGGCTTATGTGCCTCTGAGTTAAGCATGTGCTTAAATGCTCTGCTGGTCTGGGGTCAGATGCTCAGTACATGAGCCTGGAAGGGCTTAGGGAGAGTCATGTGCTGAGTAGGCTCTAGGAAGAGGCAGTATGGTTGTAAATGGTATAGCCACTCAGAAGGTACCATGAGCTCCAAATTAATCTCATTTGAAGGCTTTGAATTAAATCCATTCATTGTAATGGAGCCTCCCACAATTTCCCACCTACTTTCTATTTGCTGGTAGGCTTTGAGAGAGCGGGAATGTGTCTACCCTGTGCTCTGCTGACACATGGTACCACTGTATAGATTAGCCTGTTGTGTTACTATTAGAAAAAGCACAGCACCATTAGGTTTTCCTCCTGGCTCCTTAGATTGCCTTGGATACTTTCCTGTTTAAGTCTTGCTCAAAAACCTCTTCCTTCCCTGCTTCTTATCCTTTCAGTTTCTTCAAATGCAATGACTCAGCAGCCACAGGATGAATTTGCCAGCAGCGTGGAGAATGCAGAAGCTTGGATGAAGGCCATTCAGGAGCGGCTGCGGATCAATGACAACACCAAGGGACCCCGGGCTGCCCTAGAAGCCAGGCTGAGAGAGACCGAGGTAAGGGAGGCTGCTGCAGCAGCTGGACATCGCTGGGAAGAGCTGCAGTTGTTGCTCTGAGCCCTGGAGTTTTCCTTCAGGAAACTATCAGCTATCCCCTCTTGCTGGAATATTCATCCTGCAGGATGGGGCTGCGTCGTTATTCCTTTCTATTTTTATCTTCTGCAAAACATTGCAGGCATTGTAGAAAAAGAAGACAGTTGTCTATCACAGGCTTCCAAACTTTCCAGATTGGTTTGAAAGTTCAGCAGCGGCCGTAATCTTTCAGAATAAGTGTTTACTCTCAGCCTAACATGTTCAGGAGCTGAAACGATGAGTGAGTTGCAGTTTGCAACTACCACATGGTGGCTTGCAGAAGTCTAGTATATGGAGGCAGAGAATCAGATCATCTTAATTTCCCCCTCCTGCAGGACCCTGACTCTGACAGTGATAGAAGAAGGCTGTAGATCTGAGTAATGGATGTTCTAGAGTAACACACTAGTCCTTTCCCATAAAACCCATTGATAAAGTGGATTTACAGCTCCCCTTTATAACAAAGGAAATGGAAATGCAAATATTTTGATTTCTTCTATTCTTATTAATGCCTTGCATAACAATTTTCACAGAGATCCTTCAGCAGGTTATGCCTGCTCTCTTGTTGTGATTTCACATTTCTTAACTTCGGTTCCCTCAGATGTTATCTTGCTTTTATAATCTCAGAAAATGAAATGCCACTGTTTGTCCCATCTCTACTATCCATAATTAGAGGGAGTGGTGATATTTCTATGATTAACATTGAAACTGTTTGTATAATTACCTTTAGTTCTAGCTTGTCTGTTCTCTAAATAAAACAGGCAAATCTTCTCAGTCATTCTTTACCCTAGGTTTTTTTTTTAATGGATTTACTCTTGTTTGAATCCCTTCTTCTGAGCAAGTTTAACCAATTCTAAAGTACCTTTCAAGTTTACATGGAGAGAGGGAGGGAGGAGGCTCCCATGACAATCCAGGGATGTCTTTAGCGCTCTCTTTCTCTTAACTGAGATTTACTGAAGGGTGAATCGTGTCACTGGCCTAATAGAGAGACTGTCCATCATCCACCCCTCCATGAATAGGCTTGGATATCACTCATGAAAATCTGAAGTGTGTCCTCGTCGAGTGTGGATTTGTTTCTACTCTTAAATTTTTTGAATTCTTTCCTTTCTGTCTGGGAAACAATGATACATGTGGTAGCCAAAGACACGCAGGAAACAGAGGAACTTGAGCTGGGAGAGATATAGTTTGGCCAAAGGTGAGTGTTCCTGGCAGAGGTGGTAAGGCTGCAGTAGAGAGGTTTGGTGAGTTTTACACGGCCTCAACCAAAACCCCTTGATTTCCTTGGGCTTCTGAGGATGGCACACAAAAATCCTCTTAAGAAGGGCAATTTCTTTTTCAGTTTGCAATTTGTTTTTCTTTAGAAAGAGAAATTTCCAAATTGCCTATTCCTCTCTTTCTATGTGTGTTTTAACCACCTCCGGCTCCCTCCTCCTGCTTGTCTGGCTGGCCTCCCTTCATCCATTTATTGGCTGTTTTCCAATCCAGCGATCACTCTTCACATCGTTTTTTGCATCTGATTTGCATTTTTATTTTGTGCTTCCTTCTAGTGACTTAGTTTTTTGTTAATTTTTTAATGAAAATGCCAGACAAGGAGAGCAGTCATTTAAAAAGCAATCTTTAGGATAGAAAAACGTCTGCATAGCCACAGCTTTCTCTTTGGCCCTTGCTTGCTTTCACTTCAAGTGTTGGAGAAATGCTTAGCATACAGATTTACTTTTAATTTTTTTTTTTTCTGATGGTTGGCCAATATAGCTTTTGCTTTCTTTTTCTGCCTTATCCCTTGCTCTGTTTTTCTTGTAGTCATTCATTTCATAGAAAATAGTTGTTCTAAACACCTGTTTATACTTAATGTGCAGATATGCCACTTATATGCCAAAAATAAAATCAGTCTCTTCCTAAAAAGAACACCTGGAAATTCAAAGGCCTGTGGTTTGGTCTCATCTTCCCAGTAACTTACGTGACCATCAGGTAGCTCATGGGCTTAATCTTCCCCAAAGCAGTTGCTAGTTTTGTACCTCCCAGTGTTTTTGTTAAAGGAGCCTTTTCTTCCAGACTTTCCTCCAGACTTTGTGGAAGAAACAACAAAGAAAGAGAATTTGACAGTAGCACAAATTTGGATGAAGTGATGCTGAAGGGTGACATCCGAATTGGGATATAACTTATTCTGTAACGTTGTATGGAAGTTGTGCTGGTTTTCCATCTCTGAGTATAAGATGAGAGTTTACATAAGATGAGGTGGCTTAACTTTGAGTTCTTTATGTTCAGATTTGTGTAAGGTGCACATCTTTAGCAGCTCATAATATTGCAATGTAGGTTTAAAGCAAAAGTAGATTATAGACAGAAAATTCTGTTAGCTTCTTTTGGCTTTTTTTCTGAGCCGACCTTTATTTATAACAGGAAGCCACTTGAATATGCATCAGGATTGCTTATAGTGCAGCTTGAAGTTGAGACATTGAAGTGTTCTCCATGGAAATTGCCCCTATGCTCTTTGGGAAGAAAGAAGATTAATGACTAGTGTATTGCAACACAGTGGAATAACTTTTTAATAGTAACAAAACCACAGCAACAGGCATTTGATAGGGGATTGTCTGTTTATTTATTTTAGTGAATTTAAACTTTTTTTTCCTCTTAACTGCTACTTGCTTTCACGTCGATTCAGTCCTTTAGAATGATTTATAATAAACAAATCTGAAGAAAGTTCTTATTTTCTTTTCAAGAGAAGCCTTGCAGCAGGGACTGGGCAAACCCAAAGTTTGAATGTCATTAATCCTGCCTGCTTTCTTCACATGCTTTCAGTCTCATTTGTTTTTCTAATAGAAAATACGTGAGCTGGAGCCAGAAGGCAGCTTGAAAATGGACTTGATTCTCGTGAAAGCAGACGCTGCTCTCCGCAGCACCAGTGAGGATAAGAAACATGAGGTGCTGTCAAAGCTGAAGGACATTAAGGCCTTGTGGGAAGAGACAGCCATATACATTACTCACTGCCACAGGTAAGGCACATGTACTCTGTGCACAGGACTCTTGGGTGTCTTGGGGCAGTTTTCGCAAGCGCTGCTTTTGGGAAGTGCTCCTGCCTCTCCGCGCTGCCTGGGCTGCAGGCAGCAGTCACTACTCATCCCAGGCTCCGGCCCAGGTGGTGACCATGGGAAGAGACAGGCCGTGGGACCTCTGCACTTCTTCCCTTTGTAGCCAGTGCAGTTCAGGAGCTTAAGTGATGAGTTTTGCTGGGCACAGTGGTACCCACTTGTACAAGATATTTCTTCTGCGTAACAAAGAGAACCTGTTCAGCTAATCCTCAACTTCTGAAGTTGGAGAGAACAGCCTAAACAGCTACGAACACAGCCCTTTGTTTCAAAGGCATTTTGAATTTCCCTGTCTCCCCCATCCCATCATAATTTCACCTCTCTCTGTCTCCAACAGCCGTATTGAGTGGGTCTGGCTGCACTGGAGTGAGTATCTGAAAGCCCAAGATGAGTTTTATACGTGGATTCACAACATGAGGGTGACCTTGGAGCCTGACATTGAGTTGCAGCTTGGCTTGAAGGAGAAGCAGTGGCAGCTGAGCCACGCTAAGGTTCTGCTGAACGACGTCTTGAATCAGTCAGTCCTGCTGGAAAGGCTGCTAGAGGAAGCTGCTTCCTTGTTCAACAGAATAGGTGACCCCAGCGTCGATGAAGATGCTCAGAAGAAGATGAGGGTGGAATATGAAGGAGTCAAGGAAGAAGCTCAGGTACACCTATAAAGAGTGGGTTAACTTTTCACCAAGGTATAGTTCTGAACAGAATTGTGAATAGTATTTGCTACTCATGTACGTGGAGTGATAGCTGGTTTTCGGAATAAGAAGGATCCTGGGAATTCAGGGTCATGTCTCTAGATTGCCTCTTAAAATTCTCTCTCACTCCCATTTAACTAGAATTTGTCTTTGGTTTTTAAGCAGGAAACTGACATTAGATATTATAATAAAGCAGTTCTTCAAGAGAGACATTTGACTACAGGGAGCCTGAATCTGACCTCATTTTGCATAGAGTAATTTCTGTAGCTAACTTGGGCAGATGCTGGTGTAAATGGGATCAGGAAGTGGCTCATAGTACCCAATGAAAATATACCTGTATGTCTGCATGCTAGGAGGAGATGCTAGGAGGAGGTTCTTTTCTTTGGCATTGGTTACAAATGCCACTTTTCTCAGAAAGATGAAGTGAGAAAATCCAGCAAAGAAATTCCTCTTTCAGGAATTAGGGAATAAAGGCATTGGAAAACGTTAAATTTTGCAGCTGGCTTAAAGGCAGGGTTCATTGGCTAATGCCAAGGTTACCGGCACTCTGGGAATCGCTCTGGAAAACATCAGAGCAGCTGAGAGAAACCCTGGCACCTCTTGCACCAGGAGGGAGGAGGGAATGGGGGGCCCGGGAGCTGCCGGGGCCCCTGTGGCGCGGGGAGGCCGCGCTCCGTGTGTGCGAGCGGCAGGTGCCGGCGGTGCCGGATGCCGCGGGAGGGCTGTGGAGGGGCCGGGAATCACACGCGGGCCGCAGGAGCCTGCTCACATCCTGAGCAGTTGTCCAGCTCTGTCAGGAGACAAGCGCTGGGGCAGAGCTTCTCAAATGGTGGCTTTGCTCCTCTGGTATGAGCCTGTGTGAGCTTGGGGGCTGTGATCTGTTTTATATTTCCTGCCGCGATTGTATCATGTTTCCCTGTCGTTGACATGTTTTAAAATAGCATGTTATTTTAATCGCCTTGACTGGGGTGGGTTTCTAGGTGTGGCAGCCACCTCCCACATCTTCTTCCTTGCCTGATAAAATAACAATACGCAGAGGTAGAGGTGATTTTTTTTTTTTTTTTTTTTAGCATAAATAGTGAACTGAAGATGATAGGAGAAATTGTAATATACAAGTATGTTGATGTTTATTCATGTGTATTCAGATAGAAGGCACAGTGAGGCAGCTATTTCACTCCCATGTAGTCTCTGTTGACTCAATGCTGGATGTTTATAGAGCCTTCCCTCCTGTGTCCCGGAGCACCAGGAAGGGCTGCAGGGCTGAGGTGCCCTGTCCCACAGGTTAGTCGGACATTGCAGACCCTCGCCTGCGGGGAGAGCTTGGGGAAAGGATTTCCTGTGCCTCGCGCTCCCTCGGTGAGTGCCCAGGGCTGGGGCATCCTGCCCTGACACATCTCTTCCTCTGCAGCCCCTGGGGACCACTGTTCCTCTCGGCGCTCTCATTTCTTCCAGGGCCACATCCTTGCTCAGCGAGTGCCAGCTTTCCCAAGTGTGTGAGGAGGCAGGAGAGGTTCCGCGCTGCCCCATTCCCATGCCCAGCAGCAAGTGATCTTTTGCATCATTAGAAAACTCCCTGCCTAACCCCTTGGCGAGGGTTCAGCCTGCCTGGTTAGGCTTTTACTCAAGAGCTAACAAAGTCTGCTCGTATTCCAGTCAGCCCCTTGCCCTCTGTGAGCAGGTCAGCGCTAGAGCTGCCTAACTGTTGTGCACCTCCGCAGGCTTGAGAACAAGGCGTGAGGCCTGGCACACACGTGAGGGCTTCTGCATAGGACTCGATCACAGAAAATCGCTACCCTAATTCTGCCTTTCGATCTGTTGCCGGAATTTGGGGATCTGGGGAGGTTCTGTGGGACTCGGCACTGCCCCTTAGGTGCAGCTCCTCGGACCCAGAGCAGCTCAGCTGCCTTAGGGGAGTCACTCGTGGTTTGCAGGTGCCAGCAGAGCTAGGAATGGAAGCGGGAAGGCCCTGGCACAGGGAGGCACCGTGGCACCCAGACACGATGGCATTGCACCATGGGCACGTCCCCGTCAGCGCAAGGCCGGGGCTCTGCCCAGAGCTCCCGGAGATGAGGAGCTGTCCTGGGGGCTCCCCAGCCTCTGCCTGCAGTTGCAGCCGTCCTGTCCTCTCTAGGAGCAGCTGGGATCGGGCTGTGCTCGGAGGCACAGGATGTATCCCAGATTACACAAAACGAAACTCGGGCAGTTCTGCCCATTATGCCAGTGGTTTGCAAAGCCTTTGCAAGCACTCAGTGGTATTGCACAAGAGGCAAATTTCATCTTCACTTATAACCATGGTTTAATTTGATTTTTCTCCATGACAACTGGGGAAGGGCAAGATAAAAATCAGTGTGCATTGCTGGTAATAAAATTTAGGTTGGATATTATATTAATGAGACAACAGGACAGGATTCTTCATGAGTCATGTAGAATCTCCTACAGCAAAGGGCTCACCTTCAGCTGACAAACAGGGGTAGTTTGGGGAAACGTGCCCCTACCTTGTTGTTGGGGCTGTCAGACTGGATGAGCTCTGAGCAGCTCACTGTGTGCTTGCCTCTGTAAATCCAGATTTCTCCTATAGGATAAAACCAAGCCTGTTGCCCATAATCTTAAATTGACTTCCAGAAGTTGCACTACCACCGGAAGATTGTTTGTGATCTACAAATCAAAAAACTACAGAAGCTGCTGGGTTGCATAGTTTCGAGGGATACTTTGGACTATATCTCCAGTCACTTTCTTTATAGCCTGTTCAGATAGTGAATACTTTGAAATAACTTGAATGCACCTACCCCTGAGTATCTCTCTCTTATTTTGAAAAGCAGGCAAAGGAAAACTATTGTATTGCCCATCTCTCTCTCTTTCTTTTTTTTTTTTTAAGAGCAAAGGGACGTAGCTGCTTTTGTCCCCTTGAGTTTGCCTGCTCAGAGAGGGTGCAGCGTGAGCAGGACGTGGGACAAGCCTTTATGTACTTCTGTGTCCTCCCACTTGAGCCAAACCGTGAATTGCCGCGGGGCCGCGCGCTGTGAGGGCTCACTCACAGAACGGGACTCTTGTTTGCACTTTCTGGGTTACAGCACAAAGGAAGAAGAGCCAGATAAGCACTGTCCTCCCTGCTGCTGCCTCTCGTTACAGAGCAGAGTGAACCTGCTAGAGAAGATAACCAGCGAGCACGAGCGGTACAGCGCCAGCGTCGGCCGGTTCCGCGCCTGGCTCGGCGCTGCGGCGGACAGATTAAACGGCTGCCTTAGAGACGGATCCAAGGCTCCTGCAGAGGACAAGTTAAAGGCACTAAAGGTCCTTATATGATCCTGATATGATATGGTCTTCTGCCAAGGGGCCAGGACTGTGCATTCCCTATGTCTTTTTATATATCCTAAGCCATAAAAAAAAAAAGTTCTTAGAGAATCATTACAAATCTGAATTAGGATGTTAGTTGTTGTAAAGTGGGCTAGCAGGGATTATACCAGTATACTCTCTGTACAAACTCTGTATTTTTCAGTATACCGAATAGTATGTACGATTAGTACTGAATTAGTAATGCAGTAGTACATACTACTACTAAATGAATATGTACAATTCTGCCAGCTAGATCACAAGTGACAGGATTTTTTTAAAGCCTGATTTTCCACATGAGTCTTGGAAAATCGTACCTTTAAAGTTTTTTTAAATTAATTGTATTTGGTAAATGTGATCTAAATAGAACCTGCCAGCCTTCTAAAATTCAAAGTTGGCAATAAAAGACCTGTTTTGAAAACAGTTTGTAACATTTTGGTTCCATCACTTAAACTCCTTAGTTTGAAATCTCTCAAAGGTCTGATAATCAGTTTTTCTGATTGTCTACAGTTCCTTTATGTTCATCGTGGACCTTGGGTGGCAGTATTTTCAGAGAACAAACATTTTCAGTAGTTCCTTTTTGCCAGTATTGTGGCACACTGCTCAGAAGACTCTTAAATGCAAAGCAATATATCATGCATACTTTCACACAAGAAATGAAAAAATAAGTATATGCAGTTGGAAGAGATTCTTTCTTACCGTTTTTCACCTTTTTTTCCCCCAAAATTTGTCCTTCCCCGCAGCTTATTTTATTTAACCTTCTCTTTCTGCAGGAAATTGCCAAAAATATTAGGAGTGGTGGGAGGAAATGGAAACATCTCGAAAATCAGTGTGCAGATGTGATTCAGAATACCTCCCCACTGGGAGCTGAGTGGATGAAGGATGAGCTTGAAGAGCTGCGAAAAGCCTTGGAGAAGTTGAAGCTGCTGTGTAACGTGGAGGAGAACAGGCTGCTCGAGATCCTACAGTCAGAAGATGCCTATGAGTCCCAAGCCAGACAATTAGAAGCAGACGTCCAGAAATTCAGAAAAGATCTACAGAGATTAGAAAATGACTTGGACCACGGGGCAAGGGAGAAGAGTGAAGACGAGTTTGTAGCTCTGTGGAGAAAATGCAGTGTAAGTTGTTGCCCTTTGTAGGGCTAGAAGCAATAGGCATCGAGTGCGGTCCTCGTCTTTGTAGATTGAACACACCTAATCTCATCCAGCAGATGCCTATCCTATTATGGAAAGGTGATAAGGAAAGAGTAGGAGGGTGTGTGGAAGAAATCGAAGAAAAGTGTGAATAGCAACAGTGGTATTAACTAATCTTTATCTCACTCTGCATAAGGAGTGGTGTGGAGGAAGTAATGAAGTTTGTGTCTGGACTTCAAAGGCACAACATGGAACAAACAACACTACTTGTTCTATTTATAAAGAAGTAGAAAAAATAATGTCTCAATATATGTGAGTGTATATATACATACACAGCTTGGGGTATTTGATGAGACCATTTCTCTATTATATCCTTCATCTGTGCAAGGTGGGTATCAATATTCCCCTATTATGAGATACGTACTCATGTCTAAGAAGAAACTTAAATTTGTAACAATCCAATATTTAAACAAAAATAAAACTTTTGAAGAAACAGGAGTGGAAAAGTTCTCTCCACATATAAAGTAGGTAAGAATTTTTAGCAGTCATTTCCTTTAGAGATTTATTATCATTTTTCAAAATACCTTTCATTGCTATTCATATGGCTAGCACTCAGCAAGTTGAGCTGGGAAACACATGTATACACAAAGTCGTACAGTCCAACTACATTTTTACTTCCCTAAAGGACCACAGAATTAACCTGTTGTATGTGTGAGTGTTTGAGAAAGATCTGTGCATGTGAACAGAAGCAGTTAAGCCACGTCAAGCATGCAGCACACATTAGATCCAGAAAACTGAAGTGTAGCTTATTTGTGATTTACTCTATTCAAACAGTGGGGCCTATAGATCGGATGCAGAGGCTGGATAGTATGAGAAGAACAGAGAGAGGCTGCAGGAGTAAGACTGTTCCTGAGACTGTAGTCTAACAAAGTCCGTATTCCTTACAGCCATGAGAAAAAGGCAGCAGGAGGGGGACTTGTGGCTACCGATGTGCCTGCCTTGAGAGACAGTCTTATCACTGTGTTTCCCATGCAGGGCACAGCCTGAGGTGTGATTTGTGCATTATTTCTGTGTTTTAGGCAACAAGAGCGTCTCTGGCAGCAGAGGAGTGCAAGGTGGAGAGGCTGAAGGCTCAGCTCAAGGAGCTGCTGCGCTTTTCCCGGGATGTGCAGCCCCATGCGGAAAGTGTCGTCTCCGCAATCCAGGAGTATCAGAGGTACTGGGAAGTCTGATTACATAGGGACGCTGACGGGACACAAACAAGGGCCTATGAAAAACGTATGAAATGCTGCCTGACAGGGTGACATGGTTAGAAAAGAAGGGTGTTTACCAGATAAATTGCAATTTTAGCTACTTTTTGGGGACTACAGGCCATTTTCAAGTAGTGCTCTTACATCATTAATATTGCATATGGTCTGGAGAAAATGACTTTGGAAACTAATTTAGTCCTCTTAGCATTGTGTATTCATTTATATATTTTGCTTGCTTTTCATGATAGCAACTAGAAAGTTAGGATAGGAGCTGCAGTGGTGAATGGTTCCGAAGAATTATGCCCTTCCTTTCTGAGTTTGTTGTGATGACTCATCTGCCTTAGCAATTATTTGGCAGAGTTCATTCCCCCTTCTCCTGACGGCGTATGTGCCTGACTCCTGTTTTCAACTTGCCTTGGGCTGGAAACGCTGAAAGTTTAGCCTCTCCCCAGACCTCAGTGCTTCCGTTTCCAGGCTGCCAGGAATCAGGAAGTAAAGGAGCTGCAGCAAAATTTGCAAACTAGAAGAAAGGATCTTTTTTTTTTGAGGAAAAAGAAAGGTCAGTTGTTCGATTGTTTGTTTGTTTTTACTGCTTTCAGACTTGTTTTCCTCTCTGCAGTGCATATTGTGCTGCCAATCCGAGGGGTTGTAGGTCGTTAGAGAAAAATATTTCTCTTTAAAAACTAACATGCATGCGATGTTGAAAGAGAAGCAGAGAAGGCACAAGAACTTGCCTCTCAATAGAAAATGGCAGCTGCTCCTTTGCCAGATTCTCTCCGATGCTTCTTTGTAAAGTGTGGCGGCTTCGTGCTGAGCCTGGCAGAAGCAGCAGAGCAAATGGCAAAAGGATCTTTAACAGCAAAGCTTTTCATTTGCAGAGCATTTGGCCTTCACAAACTTGTCTTTGGTTAGCTCAGTAGTATCCTAATGACACAGGTAAGATTATTACTTCTGCTTTTATATAAAGGCAAAGGTAATTGCCTTGGAAACCTGTGGCATCGCTCTTGTCTGCCCATTCAGTGGATCTGCAGGATACCATTCCCAAATGAGTGTACAATTTGGGCTGAGTGCTGCCCTTTTGAATAGGATTCAGCAGACTGGGAGGTCAGGAAAGCCCAGAAAAACAGGAGGCAGCAGCGTGGGGTGCATCACAACCAAAACCCTCTTGCTCAGCTGGGTTTTGGTTAAACCTGTGTAAGAAGAAAAAGGAATATTGAGCAAATGTGAGCTCTTTTTTTTCTTTTAGCCTCTGATGTTTATAGGTTTATATATGTTTGTGTGTGTATGCAAAGAAATTTGTATAGGGAAATAAGTATATATGTGACTCTGCATATATTATATATACATATATTCTGCATATATACATATATATTTAAAAATCAGATCAGAAGACAAAAATGGTTGTGTATTTTACCCCCTCTTTGTAGATAACTCTAATTTATTTTTAATTTAATTTTTACAAGGCTAATGCTCTGTGATATGTAAAATGACTCAGACAACTGCAGCTAAATTCTGTGTGCTTTTGGCTCATTTATCCCAATGGTCAGTGAGACTGCTCCCATAATATTATTACTGGTAAATCATGTCGGTGCTAGCAGTGCTCGTGTACAAGGCAAGACAGCTGAGTGCTAGGGTGCAGAGTAACCCCTGATAGGTGATTGCACAGGAACTATGTGTCTCTCAGCATCTAAACTAAGGTTTTATGTGACATCTCTGCCTGGCGGAGCAGCTGTCACTAGGGAACACCAGGCTCGGAGAGGAAAAAGACTGAGGCCTTTTGTGTAGGATATGGTTTACACACGAGGATTGTGTTAATTCATGCCTTGGTGGAGGATGTTCGGACTCAGATTTCTTTGTATTTCCTCTCTCTATTGTCACTTTATCCTGGCAGTGTTAGAGGGAAGACATCCAAAATGAGTGCTGATACGGAAAGCCAACTGAGGAGGCTTTTTCAAAATCCTCTACAAGATTTTGAGCAGTGGAAACCATCAGTCAAGATGCTCCTGGATACTCCAGAGCCAGCACTGGCTCAGATTGAGGTAGCAAATCTGTGATTAGGTTAAGATGCTGGTATTTGGTTTCTGTTTGCCAAAGGCTTGCCAACAACTGCTACACACAGCTGTCAGACAGTAACAGCTGGAAGGGCATTTGCAGTGTAAGAGGAAACCCTGCAGAAGAGAGGTCAGTCCTTTCCTCTAGCTGTAATAAACATCTTGTTTTCTCCCCTCCATTTGGTGAGCTAGAGTTGTCAATTTAAATGGAGTTAAAATACCAGATGTCATTAGCAATGACTATAATATTGTTTAGGTATTAACCCCAAATCTCCCTGGGTGGGAACCCTGCTAATAAGCATGTGGTAATACTTAAAACGTATGGTTTCTGCATGTGCCCTGGAGGATGTTTGTTACTTCATCATCTTTCTGATCTTTAAAATAAACATGCCCATGAACAGGGACAGTTGTCCTTGGCATGAGCATTCCAGCTGTTCTTTCTTCCAAGCTGTCATTCTGCTGTCTTTCCTCCCAGATTCTCACACTGACAGAAATTTCTCTCTGTAGCAGTTTTCTATTTGCAAAATAGATACAAGCCTTGTGTTTCTAACATTACTAGGAAGACTTGCCCTTTGACTGACACCATGTAGGTACCTCCTGTTACCATTGGTGGCCCAGCAGGATGTTTTTACCTGGCTTTGTCATGAGAATAACATGATTATGTGATTAATTTATTTTAGTTATGATTTCACTAGAAGGATTTTCCTCCTTCAGGCTGCTCTATCTGAAAGCTCCCAGTTCAAAGAGAAGTTGATGACGTTACAGCTGAAGAAAGATTTGCTGAACAATATCCTTGGTGAGGAAGAAGCAAAGTCTTTCCTCGTGGAAGTAGCTGAAGCGTCAAAGGAGAGGGAAATTCTTCATAAAGGTCTGCTGCAAAGCAGGCACAAACTGCAGGTGAGCTGTAGTCCAGCTACAGTTTTGTTTGTGACAAAGACAGCGATTAATCTTTCATTAAGCCAGTTTTGCAGCAACAAATATAGTACTAACCAGCTGTGCCCAATGTCTTTTCTTTTTTAATTAGTCAAATATTTATAGTGTGGCTTAGTTTTATATGAGATGAACACTGACCAGAAAAAAAAAAAGTGCGAAGGGCGTGATGTTCAATATGGATATTTTTCCTCTTTTCCAGAATTTGTTATTGCAACATAAGGACTTTGATGCTGGTTTTGCACCTTTGCAGAAGAAATTATCTGCAATCAAGGCCAAAGTAGATCTAGAGAATGAACCACAGCCTGACCTGTTAGGTAAAAAGACACAGCTGCAGAGACTCCAGGTACATTTAGGAAATGTCTCTCCACACTATCGGAAGTTTACTGTGCTCACGTTTATACACATGGTTGAGATAATTTCATTTGAGGCAGTATTTGTATTTTATTTGCATTAGAAATTCAGAAAGAAACCTTATCCCCTCAGTAGTTTGCGTGTCAGGTAATCTCATTTGATCCAGTTTATAACATGGACTAGAAGAAATGGAAGGAATGCAGCTGGAGGACTGGCAAACTGGTAAACCAGCTTGAAGCTATTGGTGCCACAATATCTTGAGCTGCTTTTATTGGCAAAGAAAACATGTTCTCATGAAACTGCACAAGATAAACTGAACCTAAACTAATCAGAAAGTGCAATTCCTCCAAAATAGAAATTCCTAGTCTTCCACTTCTTTCACATTCCTTGCTCCTGCAGTCTACCTTGTTTAAGACTTGATATTCACCGGAGTTTTACTCCAAGAGCTAATTCAGCTGTCCAAAATAGGAAAAAATAATCAATAGAAAAGGTGATAGTTTTCTACCTAGGTAATGTTTTGAATTAGCATGCTATGGAGCTGCTTAAAGCGTGTACTGGGGCTGGCTATTGGGAGAGGGGAGAGAAGAGCAGGAGAGGAAGGGAAGGTGAATGTGGTTCTTGCTGTTGACCATGATGTATCAAGGAGATTCAGCTTGTATAACCACACTGTGGTGACCACAGGATACTGTCAGCATGGCTTTTTGCAGTGCTTTGATGTAGTGCCACCTCTCCTCTGGCAGCTTTAGTGTCTTGTCTATTTGTCATCAACTAGTAACATGTAAGAATGACTAACCATTTATTTTGGAAATATTCATTTAGGCGTTAAAACAATTAATTTGCTTAATGATTGTTGGGTTTTTTGTTTGCTTGTCGTTAACCTTCACACTATCAGATACAGCTGACTTTATTTAAAGCTTGCAGTTGTGTATTGATCTGAAGGGTCATGTTACTTATAGCATATCAACCATGTACAATCTGTCTTTTCCTCTGCAGATGCTCCAAGACGATTTGGCAGAGCTTGCAGTTCAAATGGAAGAGGTAGAGAAGCTTGTTCAGTCCAATACCACACATAGGCATGAAATGAACCAGCTTTCATCTGACTCTCAGGCCCTGAAGAGATCACTGGAGGTAACATAAGGAAGAGATTTTAGTTGCCTGTGAAGTTAGCAGCTGCCCCTGTTTAAAAATAAATATTTTATAGTATGAAAATGTGCTTTGAACAGTTGATGTTTTCATTTCAGTTGAAGATGACATTCTCCCTAACTGAAGAGTCCTGGAAGAGTTATTTGTAACGTGATTCCCCACTAGTAATGTGTAATTTAGGATGTGATTTCGCACTAATGCAATGTCACACAAATTCTGCATCTGTATAAATTATTTTTGGAGAGGGCCTGAGATCTTTGATCGGAAGAGCTTAGGGCTGTATTAACATATGGAGGTCCTTGGACTTGTTCATGGATTCCTGGATAGCACTATAGCATTGAACAAATGTKKGGGGGGGGGGGRGGGGGGTGTCTATGCATATATATATATGTAAAGTTCTATCAACTTGTTTAGCTTATGTGACCTAAAAGTTAATGAGGAAAAAACAAGTGTTGCTATTGCATAAGTAGTCATTTTGACCCAAGGCTTTGTGTAGTTTGTAAACATAACTATAAAACTTCCTTTCACAACCATTTTAGAAGAGCCTCTCAAATGACCTCTAGCTATGTAGGTCAGGATAAAATTACCTATAATAAAGTGTTAGCCTAATACGTGTTGCGGATTTCCAGTTTCAGCTTCAGTAATTCCATTTATTGCTGACCTGGACTTCTGCTAAAAAGAAAAAAGTGTAGAAGAAAGCTGCTTCTTTATACGCTTATCTTGGTTGAAAGAGTGTAAAATGTAGCTGACACTGGTTGAGGTACTAAAAGAATCTGTTCCCGCCC